TTAGGCTATGTGTTACAGTACTGCACTCATGGATTGTCTGGAGCGGGGGGCTGTAGTTAAGTAACAATATTACAGGTGCCAACGCGCATAAATAATCTATCACTATGATAAATCATATTTAGTGTCTTAGGAGGCACCCACTGAGTGACACATCCACTGACTGACACACACACACTATGTGTGGGGCTGGAATTTTTTTTTTTCAGGGGTGCTTTGTATTCCCAGTCCGGCCCTGGAACACTGCAGTAGATTATGGCATCCAAGAGTAAAAACAGGTCAAGGGACATGCCTGTAAAAAGCGTACATATCAGTTCTCCTTGCAGTGATGATGCAGGGAAGCAGACAATTCCATTATAATACACACATTCATGTCTAGGTAGAAAATAAGACATTATTCTCACTGTGCGAACACAGTGTTCCAAGACTCTTAACATTTGTTTGAGCTTCTTTGTGCCCATTTTTCTTTGCAGAAAACACACACAACCCCAGGTTTTGTCTGCAAAAATGTTTTTGTTTTTTTAACAATTAAACAAACATTCTCATCTCACAACACAATCCCTCAGTCATCTTCTCTTCTTTGGAGTTCTAAAGGGTTTAAGTTAAATGATTTAAAAGACCGCTATAGGCACCCAGACCACTTCAGCTCAATGGGTGCCTGCTGTAAACATAGCAGTTTCAGAGAAACTGCTATGTTTACATATGGGTTAATCCAGCCTCTAGTGGCTGTCTCACTGACAGCCGCTAGAGGCGCTTCTGCGCTTCTCACTGTGATTTTCACAGTAAGAAGATGCCAGCGTCCATAGGAAAGCATTGAAAATGCTTTCCTATGGACTGACTGAATGCGCGCGCAGATTCGGCGGAAGAGGGAGGAGAGTCCCCAGTGCCGAGAGAGCCCGGCACTGGAGAAAGGTAAGCGTTTGAACCCTTCCTCCACCTAGAGCCCGGCAGGAGGGAGGCCAGGAGGGTGGGGGGGACCTATTAACACTATAGTGCCAGGAAAGCGAGTTTGTTTTCCTGGCACTATAGTGGTCCCTTAACATAGAAGCTAGTTTGCTGCAGGAGAAACTACGCAGAATCCAAACATTGGCGCAGTGTTTTGCACGCACATAACCGCATACAACGTTTGACTTACGGTCTATATATGCACAATTAATGAATCAGACTTTGTTCAATTCATTAATTTGGAAGCGTCCGAATTTCAGAATCAACAGAAATTGAAACTAAAATAGACAAATCCATAGCGAATTGAAACAAATACATTTCTACTTGTTTTGATAAAGATGGCAAATTAGGGAGTTATCTACTAACAACAGTTTTTTCTTAATTTTGCTCTTTCAGCAGAGCAAAATTAAAAAAAAACTGGTACCCTTATGTGGAATTGCCATATCCATGGATAGCAAATTAAGGTGCGGTTTAGCAGGTAACTCCCTCATGTGAAACTTTAATTCATTTTGTTCTTTCAGCAGTTTAGCAGATAACTCCTTAAACTAGCACCTTGTAACTTGGTGACATCCACCTTCATTCACAGAATATTTGGTATCCCAGTTACAAAAATTCACAAATTTTTCAGACATAATTTGGTTAGTCCGAGTCAATATTTTTCAGAATTTTGGATGAAATTAAAATTAACAAAAAATTATTTCATTGTGCACACATCCACTACTGTCCCTCATGTGACTGTAAAATAAAATAATGTTTTCATTATTCTTAGTATATATGTCCTTGCACTCAGACAGACCAGTTTAACAAAAAATGCTGGGTGCACAAAAGCCATAGCCCAAAATCACAAACATACAAAACCGTCTTGCACTCACAGTCTTAGATTAAGTTAAAAATATTCTTTTATTGAAGTAATTCCATTAAAAATAAATAAAAGACGTTTTAGCCCTCGTTCGGGGCTTTCCTCAGGATTAATGTTGAGCCCCGAATGAGGGCTAAAACATCTTTTATTTATTTTTAATGGAATTACTTAAATAAAAGAATATTTTTAACTTAATCTAAGACCGTGAGTGCAAGCCATTTTTGTATGTTTGGTCACTTTTAATTGTGCCATCATCTTTCAATACACTTTATACCTTTTTACCTGGCCTTTTTAAACCACCAACGCTATCATCAAGGAGCAGTCTGCCTGCTCCACACTTGTGAGTACCATTTTATATATTTTATCTACCACTGGTTTTATACAGAGAGCACTATTAGTTGTCTCTTTTTATTCTTTTTGAGTGACTAACATATTCTAAAGGAAGAAGCCTGCACTATATCCTACACGCAGGGATTATACCGCTGTACGCCTTCTACACTAGAGCCAGTTATAGCTCTTACACATGTGAGTGCAACATCATCTTCTTTTATTACCTGTTGTATTTTATTGGATATACCACACCATTTGGTCATTTCTTTTGTGTTTTATTGTTTCATATTCGGATCCACCCGAGGAAGGCCTACTGAAGACAGTGTCCCTGGAAAAGCACTTTACAGACCCTTATTTAAGAAGATTGTTTAACTAAAAACTGTATATTTGGTTCATCATATTTTCTTATATATTTTATTGGTCCTTTGTGGCACAGCCCTTAGTTCTGTTTTTATTCTAGGTGCCAAGTCCTGCTGGAAAATGAAGTCAGCATCCCCATAAAGCTCATCTGCAGAAGGAAGCATGAAGTGCTCCAAAATCTCCTGGTAGACGGCTGCGTTGACCCTGGACTAAATGAAGCACCAACACCAGCAGATAACATTGCTCCCCAAATCAACACAGACTGTGGAAACTTCACACTGGACTTCAAGCATCTTGCATGTGTGCCTCTCCATTCTTCCTCCAGACTCTGGGTCCTTGGTTTCAAAATGAGATGCAAAAGTTGCTCTCATCAGAAAAGAGGACTTTGGACCAACACTTTTGAATGGCCTTTTCCTGACAATCCTCTTTAGGCTGCGGTCATCCCTGCTGCTTGTGCACCTTTTTCTTCCACAGTTTTCCCTTCCACATAACTTTCTATTAATGTGCTTTGATACAGCACTTTGGGAACATCCAACTTCCTTCGCAATTACCTTTTCAGGCTTTCCCTCCTTATCGAGGGTGTCAATGATGATTTTCTGCACAACTGTCAGGTCAGCAGTCTTCCCCAGGATTGTGATTCCTACTGAACCAGACTGAGAGACCATTTAAAGGCTCAGAAACCCTTTGCAGGTGTTATGGCTTACTTAGCTGATTAGAGTGGGACACCGTGAGTCTAGAATATTGCACCTTTTCATAACATTCTAATTTATGGAGATTGTGGATTTGGGGTTTTCATGAGCTGTAAACCATAATCATCGCACTTATGACAAATCACGGCTTGAACTATCTTGCTTTTCATTTAATGCATCCCTCATATATTACTTTCCACTAATTTTTCGAATATCACCTGTATATAAAATCGATGTTTACACACAGAACCTAAAGGCAACATTTATTCTAAAGTGTCACCACCATGGCACTTCGTTATTGACACCTAAACCAAAACTGGATTAATGGGACACTGTAAGTACCATAACCACTATAGTTTATTGTGAAATTATGGTGGAATTAGTCTTTGGTTGAGCATGCGGGCCCTCTGTCTTGAACTAGGGGTGCAAGGTCCAAATAACTCCTCCAGCCAAAATGCCAGGTTTGCCATGTGCTTTATCCCAGCTTACTGGGTAGCGTGATTAAGCTGCAGCTTCTTTTTCTCTGCTCAATTTAAGCAGAGGCTGTGGTTCTTCCCAGAGACTCCATGGAGAGACATGATGTACATAATATGCTCAGACAGTGAGTCTATGGACCAATGCTTCAATGTGTGATAGAAGGAGGAGGATAAGGGTAATTAGGGGATTATGTAGCTTGGGGTTAGGAACGGATGGTGGGATGTAGTGGTTATGAGGCTTGGGTAATGTGATCGGAGCCAAGGATAATGAGTATATCATGGGAATAGAGGTTAGTTGGTTATAGGACGGATTATTATTGTGAATGGGTTTATGGGACTGGGAGAATGTGATGGATTGAGTCTATGGGGACAATCCTTATGAGAGGATTATGGAGCCTCATATTTAAACTTTGCCAAAGGACTAACAAAAGTCTAAAGCCATCTCTGTACATGGTTGTCTGAATGGGATACTCGTACTTTCCATCATCACGGTACACAATACAGAGTTTTGGCTATGGGGATTTAGTTGAAATTAAAAACACGGAATTTAGAGGCAACTTGTCTAGCAATGCTCCTTCCGTGAGGGTGTTTTTCTACATACATTTTTTCTGGGTCCCTCAGTGTGGGAGGTAACCCAGTGCAGGACAGGGTTATACCCACCTGAACCCCCAATAGATTTCGCTGCCATTCAAAGAGCACTGTTAGAGGGCAATGGACCTGCTTTCCACTGTTCCATCACAATACAATCAACCATGGGAGGGCAAGATGGGCAAGATGGGCAAAATGTCATGAGTGGCCACAGGGCTGCTGGTTTCTACTGGTGGTGCTCGAAGTGGCATAAAGTAATGCGGCACAGCAGGACTCAGTTGGCTCCGACTAAAAATGCCACTTACACTGGGATAGAAACATTTGCACCCGCAGAAAACTCACACCACTACTCCTCCCTCAGCAGGAGGATACGTTGCACGGTACATACAGAGTCAACATCCTTGAAGGGGATTTCTCACTAACTTCCAATACTCCTTGTAGTGTACTAGTTAGATTTCCCAAATGGATTCAGAATGTGTGTTAACTTAAGTCTATCTAGAATTTCTCTGTGATAATTATATTCCCACAAACCTGCTCTCCCTACATACAAGTTAGCATCTGTATCTGTATAGCTACTGTCATAGGTCTTGGAAGACATGTTTTCTTGTATCCCTCCTCCAAGAGTCCATATTTCAGAAAGAGAGACCATTGCTCAAGCAGGACCACCAAGGACAAAGTAGCAGCCAAATAAGCTTTGATTAATTCAATAAAATAAAGAAACTCACATTTTGCAGAAAGTCAACCAAAACACACAGAAAATGGATAGAATGTTTTATTTGCTAAACAATTTTAGATACTTTTATTTACAACACATTCCATGATCCACACTAGAATGGTTATTTACTAAAGCAAGAGTTTCTAGGAATTTAAGGGGAATTCAAAGCAAAATTTAAATTTAAGGCCAAAATAGCCAAACCAAATTGTCTTGGAGAATTTTTCCAATGTGACTATTTGTCTCAATTTTTAAAATTCACTTTGAATTCCCTGCAATTCTCACTTCAGAGAATAACCGGTCTGTATAATAAAACCAGCCATGCAACCACCTGTAAGGTAAGAGTCACGTGAGGTAAGATGAGAAGGAAATGCTACATAAATAAAAATGGGACACAAAAAAAGACAAAACAAAAAAAACTCTGCAAGATTTGAAACCGCTTTACCTTGTCCATGAAATATAGCTGCATTTATTGTTCATTGGTTTATATTTTGGATTTGTAAATATCTACAATATTAATGACACAATAGGATACCTCACAAATAGAATATTTTGAAGGTTCTCAATACAATATGTCATTTGATCACAAGAAATTCCAGTTTTAACCCATAACAGAGCGACCGTCATTTGGACTTGGCAGTAGTACAAACCTTTCATTGCCACTTGGCTCAATATAAACCAGTTAAGTTAGTCAGAATGTTCCATTGACCCCTTAAGGACACATGACATGTGTGACATGTCATGATTCCCTTTTATTCCAGAAGTTTGGTCCTTAAGGGGTTAAGCAAGAGATCATCAAAACAGATTACTACATGGGTGAGCAATAGACTATAAACATAGCTTTATGTAGAATAAATTTTTTTTTTAATTTACACTTATTTTAATTCAGAAAGATTGTACACATTTGAGTTGTATTCTCCAGCAAACATTTCCAGTTTTGAGATTACATTTTTTTTGTTATTGTAGAGACACTTTTGGGACATGCCCAGTTAGTCTATTTGAGTGAACCATGAGATCAGTCTTTTCCTCTTTATTTTTAATGCTCCACGGTTGTGCCAGATTTTGCATTACCTTGGATCAGATTGTCAGATAACAGACTTTCATGCAATGGTAGTCTGCACTAGTATGAATATAATAATACATTACTCGCCATCAGCCATAATAAGAGGAATCATTTCTAGCACCAAGGGATAACAAGAAACCCACTCTAAGTGAACATTGCAATTATGAATGAGAAATACAAAGTGCTTCAATGGAATGTGAGACAGATTTAAAGAGACATGTCAACCAGATCACAACCGTTGCATCTATTTGTATCACATCATAAAATGCACAATTTACTAATCTATATCACTGAGGGCATAGTAAAATAAAACAATTTACACAAGTTTTTAAAGCAACAGTAAAAATAATAAAATCTATAAAAAAAAAAAAAAATAGATTTAGCATTTACATGAGATACTCACAAAGGTTAACATTTGTAGTTCTAACTGAGATTTGTCAGTTAGGGGAAAAAAAAAGTACTTCACAGGTTTCCAAGAAAAATAATATGTATAAATGAAACTGCAACAAAAAAAACGGTTTCCTTCAACCATTTCCTTCTAACCCATTATTAATTTTAGTACGGATTTTCGCCAGCCAAAAATCCTTCATAGCAATATCTTACCACCTCTCCCTAAATTCATGATTTCCTTTAAAATATTTTGTAAATATTTAAATAGATTTCCCACTTGCTGTTTCAGATATTCGGAATTAAATGCAGATTAATTGTACCCTTAAAGAGACACTTTATGTAGTGCTTCTGGTGTCTACATTGAAAAATCTGCCAGGACATGTAATAAACACTGCATTTTCAGAAAAAAATGCAGTGTTTACATTGCTGCCTAGTAACACAACTAAAGGCAGTCACTCAGATGGCCACTGGAGTTGCTTCTTTAGGTCAGCGTCTCCAGGCTTTGCACGGAGATGCGGAATGCTCCTGTAGAGATGCATTTTGCTGCACATGCACAATAACTCCAAAGGCTTTCCTATGGGAAAACATTGGATTGGCAGAGATCATCAATATTGTTGATCTCAGCCATGGAGGTGGAGCCAGCCGTGGAGAGACCAGGGGACCTACATATTTACTCCAGCACCAGTATTAGGAATACATGTTTGTATTCTTAGATCTACTTATAGGAACACTATAGTGCTATTTGGTAGATATTGTTAAAAGCATATATTAAACTGCCTATGATGGGCAGAAAAGAATTTTAGCTGTAATTTTTTTTTTACTTGGTGTCAGAGGACTTGCCAGTAGATAAACTGGTAAAGCCTTCCCATTTTGGTCAGCTATCAATCACGCATCAACAACTGGTATCTTGGTTTAGGTGAGATTTATGCAATATTGATGGGACTGCCAGGGGGCAAGCTTGCTAGGGACTGCCAGGGGAGGAAACTTACATTTTTGCACCATGTGACCTATTGTAAATCTTAGTGCTAAGAGAAATGTATTTATTATTTTTTACATTTCTTTCAGATTGTGCTGCGCAGCATATTTGTTATTGTGTAGTATTATTACTGTCAGTTCTTCTGTGAGTTTGTGCTGATAGTTGCAATGATTAATAATACCTTCCTATATACAGAATGATCACAGTTACATATTACCAAAACAAGTTAATATTCCACCCACAAAAAAAAATCAAAAAAAAAAAAAAAAAATCAGAAAACTAGCTCATCAGGATTTATTTTACAAGAATATAAATCTTTCTGTAGAGAGATGGGAGAAAAAGGATAAGCAACAGAAGTGGCAATGTGTGTAACATTTTTTTAAATTACAAAGCTACAAGATACATTTGAAGTGTAACAATTAAAACACTTCAGGCACAATATCACCATCTAGACTGCAAAATGGAGAAATTAATGGATAAATATAAAAAAAAGGTGATTATTGTGCTTACCAAGTCTGTGATAGAGGCAGGGACGGAGTTTGGATGGGAGATTTGTTTTTTTTTAAAGACATTATTATGTCAATGATGCTGGAGTATGGTGTCTGGATTAATTTTTACCAGTTGGATTTGTTTTGCCGTGGTTTTGCAACAAACATGGTCACTACACCGCACATTTGTCTGCCGTCTCCCAAATGTCAAGTGTAAGGTTCCACAACTGAATGTGACTGTAACTAAGATATGACGTTTATTGCAATGGCCATGTTGGTCACTTTTTGCCTCAATGCAGATGCAGCTATAGAAATAAATGTATATGTAGAAATAAGTTAAGGTTTTGGAATTTGCTAGAAATTCAATAGGTATAATCTCCTTGTGTGCGCTTTTAAATCTGGGAGCATGCAAACCAAACAGATAACCAGAAACAGAAACGGATTGTAGTAAAGAAAAATAAAATAAAAACACATTTTTATATTATATGCTATATGTGAGGCTGGCAATGCACAGCTTGGCATGCAATGTCACTTCAAAATCACTTCACGTCAGTGACCAAAAGAGAATCCAATACTGGGGAAAGAGGCTTAAATGTGCATGCACATACTGCATTTTGGGATTCTGGCACCAGTACCTAGAAATATTTTGGAGAAACGGGTGCTTTTCTGCATCACTTCTCACACTGTAATAATGCTAACTGGAGTGAGGGAATATTGTATTGTAACAATCATTTAAAATTGGCATTAGCAGTGTTGCTGATGTTCAATAATCCTTAAAAGACCAGTATATGACGGGGGAAAAGTGAAACTCAAAGTAGTTTAAGCTACAAATAGTACTGTCAAGTTTAGCTTCAGTTAGACTACACTGGATTAAATTGTGCCACAGATCGTCACGCCGAGGATTTCCCTATGCTTGGAGTAAAAATTAGCACACCTTCAGTACCTTCACAGGATGACTAACAATTGGTTAGTTCTTTTCAAAGTATTTCATGGTATTGCTGGCATGTTTCATTCAATAAATACTAAAAAAGAATATATAATAAAATTTCTCTACACAAGAGGCAAAACTATTTTAAAGCATCTCGGCTAGTGGTAAAATCCATTGTGACCCTGAATACCATGCTGGGCACCTCCTACAAAATCTGTCCCCAGTCAGGGAGCTGAATTACTAGAACCATGGTAAATAAAAAAATAAAAAAAAAATCACATGCATGAGCTATCGTCTACCACTGTGTGTTATTTTAATGCCTCAAAGATTAACTCAGAATGGAACTCATCTGCACACTAAGAATAACGGGGTTGCTACAAAACTGAACGGACATGTCCCTGTGGAGATAACAGAAAAAAAGAAGGATAGTGCGTAGGCGCTTCACTGTAATTATGACAGTTCTGTATATAATAAAAATATACAATAGATGGTGTAACTGGTACCCTAGTGCTTCCCTTATACACCAGATTTACATAATACAATAAAAAGAGACAAATACCAGTATATACACCTCCCCAATGTGATCACAACAAAAATAAGTGATATTACCAATTTAGAACTGGACTGTAATGTAAACAGCGTAGAACTTGATTGGGGTATAAACTAAAATAGAAAAAACATAAAAAACATAGTGCAAACTGTATGATGGAAAATAAGTAATAGATAAATGTGCTGGGGAAGCACTGGAGGAAGGCTGTTGGCCGAAACGCGTCTGCTTCAATCTTCTGCATTTGTATTTGTTATTTTATGTGTATTCCTGTCACTCTGGGCTACTATACAGATAGGGGTAAGTGGAATTCCATTGTTGTTTTATATATATCCTTGTCCGTTTTGGGTTCCACCCCCATAGTGCCCAGTAGTGTATACACTTTTTTATATATTTTTTATATATTTTTATAAATAAATATATTTTATATTTAACCTTTGGAGTCTCATCTATTTGGACCACCTGGATCGTTAGCCAGTTATTGGCACCCCTGAGCCTGTTATACAGAGCCTGGTACGGCTCTGGAGAATGTGAGTGAGAGTCACACATTTATCTATTACTTATTTTCCATCATACAGTTTGCACTATGTTTTTTATGCTTTTTCTATTTTAGTTTATACCCCAATCAAGTTCTACGCTGTTTACATTACAGTCCAGTTCTAAATTGGTAATATCACTTATTTTTGTTGTGATCACATTGGGGAGGTGTATATACTGGTATTTGTCTCTTTTTATTGTATTATGTCCCTGTGGAGCTCCATCCAAACAGAGAGATGCTTTGCCTTGGCGATTCACTCTGGACGAGCACTAAAACATTGCCCCTACCAGATGACAGTATGGGCCGCAAAAATAAAATGTTTTGGGTGCCAGAGAGCCCACAAATCCCCGATAGACTAATTTATGAGGCCTGCAATGCGAGAAACACATAAGATGGCACCTGAAGCGAGTCACGTTGCAGCAGAATCTAAAGAGTTACATAAGGAGGTTTGAATCTCCTGATTCTGCCCACCACAGCGAAGTGGACCAGGAATCAGAGTCTGAGGAACACCAAACACCCTCAACAAAAGGGGATATCAAAAGGCTGCTCCTGGACCTCCGCAAAGTGTGGAAAGCATAGAAGCTCAAAAAAGCAGAGGAGAGAGAGAGAGAGCACGGGGTGATAGGCTACAAGCCACAGAGACACATATGAAGGAGCTAACAAGTCCAAAGGATGCAAAAAAAACTATGGCCTCCTTGGAATTCCGCCACAGATAACAGAATGTCCAACTGAGTGGAGTCCCAGAAAAAGGTCAGTGAGGAAGTTTTTTTACCCTACACCAAGAGACGGTTTATATTTATGGGCCTCAAAGGGGGAGAGGACCCAACCATGCTGAAATTAGCATTCTGGATCCGAAAGGCTGTCATAGCCCCAGCTGATGTGCCAAGAGACATTGTAGTGGTGAGCGCAGGTTGCAAAGATACTGAGAGAACGATTGGTCCAGCACAGATAGGGCACAGATGGAGCCTAATGGTCCCACAAGGAAACAAGACCATTTCCCTCACATCAGATCAAGACCCAGAGACACTAAAGGTGCAAACTGAAAACTGAAGCTGCTGAACACAGACCCCGTTGTAGCGTCTTCTGGTAAATACGACATGGCAGCTACGGAAGATCCAAAAGAAAGCACATCAAAAATGGAGCCTAAGCTTTATTCCCCGAGAACAAGACCGTGACTGCTGAATATTAATGTATAAGTTTGCCCATACTACATAAGGATGCACTGTACCCCATGCTTGATTTCCCAGACCAGCTCTCCAACCCAACGAGACATACTTACCCGAGCTATTACCAATGTTCTCATACATTTAAATGCCAAAGTGTTTCCCATGGATCTTGGCACGAACAGTTATGCCATGTTGTACTGCTTAGCGCATAATGTTATGTTATATTGATCAGCGCACGAAGTTACCAATATTGCCTGTTCTATTTTCACTATAAGTTATTGATATCAATGTATATCTGTGTATGCAAAACCAATAAAACACACACAAAAAAAAAATAACAAAAAAATGGGATTATCAGCAGGTGGACCAAAAACTAAATGTACATGAGGCCCCTCAGGGGCGAGTAGATGTGTTGATTCAGAGCTCACTAGTGTGAAACTATTATTACACATCCAGCCTGTACTATGGCTACAACTGTATACAGAGGTCAAAGATAAAAACAGGTTAATCAAGAAGAAATCGTAACCCTTTGTGCAAGAATATAGCCCTTTGGCAAAAAATAATGATTCCTAATAGCACATTTTAAAATTACGTGAATAATTGAACTGCTATTAAAGTTTGCCGTTTATACAGAAGTGTTATATATATATACACACACACACACACTATATTATATATAATATATATAAAAAAAATACACTTACAGGACTGAAAATTACAACTACTAAATATCCTCATCACTGGCACTAAGCAGGGCTCAATTTTCACTCATCAGTATACATATATACATATGTACGCATATACAAACAAAATATGTACTCACATGAAAAAATAAAAATATGGACACCTTGAGAATCTGATTAACACATTTGGTATAACACTTTCTGTGAGGCTACTAGCTGGGTATTGGTGGGTAACTTTAAACTCAGGATGTGCTCACTGTGTAGCCCATTTAAAGAAGTATTCCAAGCACCATAATCACTACAGCCTTCAGTAGTTGTTATGGTGAAATATGTGCCCTAAAGCCCTTTCAGAGTATATAGTCAAATGGTTTACGAATGATTTTACATATTTCCTGGGTTTTGTTGGACACCAGAACCCGCCCCCTCTGCTGCCAGAAGTTCTGCCACTTAACTAAACTCGGCAGTGCCAGGATGCCCTCACTGAACGCGGACATAGAGTCTATCTTCACGCCACGTGGTGTTGGAAGCTCCTGCAAGGAACTTCCATTATCTGCCACATAATTTGTCAAACCATTCTTTGACCATTTACTCTGGGAGGGTGTAATGGCACTCCTAGCACCATTATCACTACAATGATAGGTGCCTGTAGCTATTGTTATGGCGCTTGGAGTGTTCCATTCAACCATAAAGGATAAAAAAAAAACATAGGTCATCAAAGCAATCTGTTCTATAAAGGTCCTACTCTAAAATAAAATGACCCACACAGTTTGCTATTGGAGTGCTGTATAGCAAAGCCAAAGCACAGTAAGTTCTTACCCACAGAATATCCAGCAATAAAGTACAAGATTATCAATTACATTATGACATTTTGTTAAAGATCATCATCGGCGGAACCTTTCTGAAAATAAAACTCCTTGAACACATAAATATTTAGTTCCAAGCTCAAGAAAAAAGGCCAATACAAAAAAAGGCCAACACAAGAGCGCTAGGCAATGGGGCACACGATAAAAAAAAAAAAAAGTAATATTGGAGAAGGTTCTATAGGCATTTATGGTGGAACCTGGTAGAGAGTTGGTCGAGTTAATGCCACTGGGAGATCCCTGGGCTTGGGAGAATCCTGGGCTTTCACCGAGGATCAGCAATAAGATGGCAAACCTTACCAGGTAATCTTAAAGTGTTCTATATAAATCTGTTTAACTCCTGATTCATTATGGAACACCAGGAAAAAAACCTTCACCATTTGAAGGTGAACGGTCACTTCTTGAATTCCTAATAGTCTTCCATTAAAGATTTCGTAATGGACATCACAATCCAGTTTAGCCCAAGTACAGCGGGTGCACACACAGCACTGGAGAATGAGAACCATACAACCTCTGTCTGTGCAGATAGCAGTGCGTAGAATGAGGATTGACAGGGAGCCAAGATGGAGGCACTATTTTAGGATAGAGGTAATATTATCTGCATCAGTTTTGTCATTTAATCTTAGTTTTCATATATATGTTAAACATAGGATACGTACACATAATATTAAACATTTCTTGGATGAGACAGTTTTCTTTTACGTACCAGAGCAAATTATTGTAGACCCCTCTGACTTCAAAACATTAAAGTCAATTAGATCACACATTACGAAATAAGAAGGTATTCAGGGAAAAAATACCATGATTTCACTTTGCAGCAGAGATCAACTAAACAAGATTTATAGAACTCCTGTACAGTATAACCAGTTTTTAAAAAACATTTTCCCCAATACTTTGTATACATTAAATAGCTGCAGGATTTAACAAGAATTGGATTCAAAAGCAAAAGAGATTTACATTAATTGTAAAATCGACAACAAAGTACCAAACATTTTGTAATGAAGTACCCGAAAAAGTACCTAGTTTGATCTGATACCACTTAATTTTTGCAGCCCAAAAAAAAAAAATAGGATTTGTAAACAAAACTAAATGAAGCAACCTATTTACTCATCGTTGAAAATATATGAAATTCTGTAAAAAATAATTAACATTGTCATGCTGTAGAAAGGCATTTTTTTTTGCAAGCAGATATGTGTGCTTCTTTCATAAGACCATTCAGAGGGTGGTTTAAAGATAGTTTGTCTCATAATGTGCCATATCCACCCCGCCAAAAAAAAGAAAATTAAATTAAAGTTAAAAATGTATTCCTTAAAGTCTTGTAAATTCAGCATTTTGTTGCAAATCACCAATACTTTCATAGTCACTCTCTCCATGTGGGAGAACAGTTTCTCTGGTATTAGAATATGGTATAGTCCTCTCCTCTTCCCGGCTGTGGGTTGCAATTGCTTCATATTCGGGATCTGTCCCACCATTAATTTGTTCAACTGATGGCACAAAGCCACCGATATTGGCACTTTTTTCAATGTCCCCGACCGTAGCATATGTGCCATTGCAGGTGGTTGGAGATAGGTCAGTGGCAACATCTTGAATATATGAGTAATGGGATAAATCCTCATCGTCTTTTCTGGACTTCCCATGCTTGGATACTCTAGAATACATTGCAGAAATCTGAAATAGACGGTAGATAAAAGGATTAATGTATAAAATCTATAGAGGTTATTTTCCAACTTGACAGTATTCAGATAGAGTTGTCCAAAAGTAAAAGTAAACAAACGAAAGTAATTAATGCACTTAAAGAGATTTGTGCAAGAGAATTAACAATACTTACAGAAACCTATTAAAAATTAGAATTCAACGTTCATGCAATAAGATGTACTACACGGAATAGGCATTATTCATTTTAATGGTCAATTTCCATGGACAAGCAACAACCTTATTTTAGAGGCCAGGTACTATAGGACTATTTACTTATGTCTGAATAAGATCTTTCATGCTAAAGACAGGCCAGACACATAGGGAATGGCCTTAGGCCATTAGGCGCCCTGTGCGACAAGGCTTCACGGCACACACACGGCACACACACACACACAGGAAGACAGTCACACAGACAGACACACAGGAAGACAGTCACACAGGCAGTCAGTCACACACACACACAGGCAGTCACACAAACAGGCAGACAGGCAGTCACACACACACACACACACACACACATACAGACTTAGCTCTTTCCATTTTGGCAGGAAGGGGGAGTGGATGCACTTGGTTGTTGTCCTTCCTTCATCCCTCTTCCTTTACAGGGGCTTCGGGTATGTATTAGCCCCGCCTCTGCCGGTCGTTAAGCCCCGCCCTGTGTGTGTGTTTTTTTTTAATATTCGGGTGGAGAATAATTAATCCTCCACCCGGGTACCTATTTTAGCTCCCCTGACACCGGCCATGTGCAAGCTGTGTCGGCCACATGGCGCCCCCTGCTCAATGGCGCCCTGTGCAGCCTCACAGCTCGCACACCCCTAAGGCCAGCCCTGCTGACACAGAATGTGAGAAAACGTAAATATAGAGAACTGTAACACATATTACCAGTCCTTAGAACGTATGGGCTTATATTACAAATGCACATAGGGAAATGTGTAGCTAGAAACAAAGCAAGGCTCAAGACATCATAAATACACAGAAAAGGGAAAAAAAACACACAAAAACACACCAACCTGAAATAGGAGAACAAGGATTCATACAAACAGTGTCCAGGGACAGACTGAGCATAACTTGAGCATCCTGGCAAAATGAGGCCATGGACCTCTCTGGAGTATCTCTACCCATCTCATGTTGTAAGACTTCCCTCTATCTCCCTCTTTGTAAGAAATCCCCTAGAGTAGCACAACTCTCTAGCCCCCAAGTGATTCTATCTTTATCCAGCAGCCCAAGTGTGTCTCTCTCTATCCCAGCAAACTAATCAGTTTTGAGGTGCTCTCTTGTCTCCTTTAGGCTTATATCTCCCTTTAAAAGATTTTTCTCAATCAGCCTTTTAAGTGTAGCTTTCCATGAACCTTTCTCATTCTGTAGCTTCCTCCCCACCTCTCCTTTTTCTCTCTCTATACAATCTCCTTCCTTGTAGTTTTGTAAATACCTGTGAGTTTGAACAAAGTATTCTGTGTTTCCGTGGCAGTCTCTTCCACAGGTTGGTTTTAGCAATGGTTTTAAGCACGCCATAGAAGCACTGTCAGTGTGAAAGGGGTGGGAATATGGCAGAACCAAAAAAACATACCATAATAACAATATCTGCTAATGGGCTACGAGATTTTTAACAGCCTGGTCTGTTTAGCTACAATTCAGCCTTCATCGGGTGGTGTTGGATTTCCCTATTGAGTATAAACAGAGCGCTGAGCACAGTGACTATTAGTGAACAGACCAATGGGATTATTAGAGGTAACGCCATGGGACAGCAATGAGAAGACTTCTGCCTTAAATAAGATTTTAAGAAAATTAATTTCAAGGAAAAACACAGGAAAAAAAAAAAAACAACAACACACACACACACACTAAAAAAATGAAGAGGGACAGACACATTAGAAAGCATAGTGGGGATAGAGGAGGGAATGAAGGTGTGTAGAGTAGTTTATGATCTACAGTTTGGTTACTCTTGCTCTATGGGAGGGAATCCAAAAGAAAATTCACGTACACAGAAATTCTGGTCCATAGTTCATGGTCTGTAGCTATACTTAAATATTCTATTCTACCTCTTTAATCTTGGTAGATATACAATGTGCATACTGGGGTGGTGACAGTTCTAGAGGAGAGATTGTGTTGCAAATTCCCTGGGTAAGCTTTTAGCCCCATTTTCTACTGTTCAATTATACATGGAAAGCAATGTTGAAATATTACAGCGGTTACACAGTTTTAACAATGGTCACCAGGCTAAACTCTTAATACATACGTCATCTTCCGTAAGACATGGATCTTCTTCCCGAGATTTGTAGGATAGAGAACTTTGTCTCTAAAAAGGCAAGAAAGATAAAAGGAAAATCAATATACTTCTGAATTCTGTAAAGACTTGAGCTTACTTTTCTCTTTCACAACCCTCCAGGGCTTTTATCCCAATATTACAGAAAGATTCTCCATGATCAAACTGAAACGGATGAGACAAAGCAAATATTGAAAAGTGGTAGATGTAAAACATAGGACTTCCTAAAGGCAATAGTTTGATTTAAGAAACATTCTAATAAAATATCACTTACAAATCAGATTTGCAGTCAACAGAAGAACTGAAAGCTGACATTTAGTGGGTCAGTTCCAGCAACATGAGAAATTACATACTATGTTTCATAATTAGTATGTTTAATAATTGAGGGTTGCAGACACTGAATTCGGATTTTAGAGCACCTCTGACTATAAAATTTTTTTTTTTTTTAATATCAAGACCATGACAGGGACATACACCAAAAATCAGTAAAAAATGTATTTAAATTTTTTTTTAAAAAATATCAATAAATCAATAAACCTTTAGTCCAAAACAGAAATGAACTTTATCTAGTCATTAAAGGAACACTATAGTCACCTAAATTACTTTAGCTAAATAAAGCAGTTTTAGTGTATAGATCATTCCCCTGCAATTTCACTGCTCAATCCACTGTCATTTAGGAGTTAAATCACTTTGTTTCTGTTTATGCAGCCCTAGCCACACCTCCCCTGGCTATGATTGACAGAGCCTGCATGAAAAAAAAAAACTGGTTTCACTTTCAAACAGATGTAATTTACCGTAAATAATTGTATCTTAATCTCTAAATTGAACTTTAACCACATACAGGAGGCTCTTGCAGGGTCTAGCAACCTATTAACATAGCAGGGGATAAGAAAATCTTAATTAAACAGAACTTGCAATAAAGAAAGCCTAAATAGGGTTCTCTTTACAGGAAGTTTTTATGGAAGGCTGTGCAAGTCACATGCAGGGAGGTGTGACTAGGGTTTATAAACAAAGGGATTTAACTCCTAAATGGCAGAGGATCGAGCAATGAGGCTGCAGGGGCATGTTC